ATCGTTTTTTGACTTAACAATCTCCATCTTTTTGGTGATAACACACATGTTTTTGTATTTTTGAAATGTTCATTTTTATTTGTTTGAGAATATATTTTTATTTTTAGTAAGACGGAAAGATTTTTGCCTTTTTAAAATGTTTTCATCTTTTGAAAGGTACCTTTCTTGAAAAGAGTTCTTGACCTTTTAACCTTGAAAAACCTTTTTAGTTTTACCTAAGAAATTTTTCTTAAAAATACAGAAGCAATTTGGATATGTTTTTATCAAAGTGACGTAAGACACACATATAAGACGTTGTAAGATTATTCATGCAGATTTATTTTTACGAGTATATTCTTTTAAAGACATGTATCGTCTCGCATTTACTTAGTTTTATCATCATTTGAAATAATGCTTGAGACAGACTAAAGAATTATACTAGGTTAGCTAAAATGATATCTAATTAATCCTTAGAGCATGTTAGACTAAATCAGTGCATGCAAGATAAATTTTATATATGGAATAACATGCTTGTTTTTATCTCTTTCTTATCATGCATATTAGAGCATATTGGACCAAAACATATTTTTCTACCCTAGGTGTCAGATCACATGTAATCAAACCATATATGCTTACTTTAGGTGCTATATGCAATGCATAGGGGACTCCCCCTAGAAATGTGCATGATTTGACAAATATAACTTGCATAAATCAAAGCAAATATAATGTATACTAATTAGAGCATATTGTTTAGAATTTTGAAAATTTTAATAAAATCATAGCACAATAAAATAGTCAAAAACTTAATCATTCTCCCCATTTTGGCACTAACAAAAGCTAGTATAAGGCATCCTCCTCATCAAAGCTAAGATTGGTATAGAGGCAAGATAGCATCTTGTTGAATTTCCATTTAGTGTGCTTGCCTCCTTAGAGTGTAGTGCAAAGCTTAGTAAAGGCCAACAATCACCTTGTCATAGTCCTTTTTAGTAGCGAGTGAACAAACCTAACTCAGTTGCATGATAAAAAAAACCGGAAATAACATGAACTTGTGTCCTTGAGAGATAACCTAGGTTAGTTCTCTATATTAAAAAATATTTTAGAAACCTAGTTTTGTTTGATATTGACTTGGCAATGCTATCAATGGTCACCATGCCAACCATTATTTATAGTTTTATAATAGTTGTTGTTTATGGTCATCATGTCAACCATTATTTCTGGTTTTTATATCAGGCATTGTGGTTTGGTAGGATTAAGCCATTTAGAATGTTTACCCCAATTGTAGGAGATCTCCATTAGTTATTATGCATGATGATGCATCAATTATTTAGTTATTTAGCAGTTATCATTAGTTGTTTAACAATTTCTTAGTCATTTAGTTATTGTTTTCAGTTGTTTAGCAATTGCTCTGTTGTGTTTGGAGTTGTTAAGTTGCTCATTGATGATTTTTAGTTATTTAGCTAATTTCCAATTGTTTAGTTGATAAATTCTTTGTTGGTTTTCAATTGTTCATATTGTTGAGTTATGACTGATGTTGAAGTTATTATTCTGCTAAGTTGAAAAGCTAACTTGTTGTTTTTAGTTGCTTATGTTGGTGAAGTTGTTACTTCTTATTTGTTGATATGTTGTTTTCTACACAAGCTTACCCTTGTTTTTTCATATTGTTGAATTGCAATGATCGTACTTGGTATAGAAGAAGGAGAGGATTAGGTTGGATGGCACGCTTGGTGGATGACCATGCTAGATATGGCTTTGTTTATGGTGTGTTGTTTTGTTACAATAATTTTTTTAAAGACGTTTGATCGACGCTAGGGTTATTTTGTATTAGTATTTTATATTTGATGTATATTTGTATATGTACATTGATGGAAATATGTCAAGGCCAAGGAATCCAAGAGGTGATACTTTAAAAGAACCAAGAGGAATGAGATGATTTTGAAGACCTTTTCATATGTTGTATATAAACTTGTACATAGTTTCCTTGTATAGGCTTATTTTTTCCTTTGTATTTGCGAGGCACTTTATTTCATTTTAAAAACCATTGTATATTGTTTCTAGGGTAGGTTACTTGGAGACTTTGACTCCATTTAACCTAATTTTGAAGTACACTCTTTTTCTATGTTTTTCAATAGTAGAAGTGGGGTGACAATTAGCAATGCTTGAGGGTGTGACTAGTAATTGGGCCAGAATTGGGTCTAGGCAAAATTTTACATATTAGACTTATTTTGCTCCTAATTTTTCAAAGATTTGATTTAGCTAGGTCTCATCATCTTTGGATGAACCTAACTAAACCAAATCAAACTTTTTCAAAATCCGGATTTGGAGAAAACAAGCCTAAATGGCCCCCTAGCTTGCCTTGGTTCATTGCTTGGCTGAGTTGCTTATTCTTCCTTCAAAGCTTGAGAAGCTTGTGTTACAAGCTTCTCATTTAGCTTGCTTCCCAAGCAAGCTAAGTGAGAAGCTTGTTCCACAAGCCTCTTAACTAGCTTGGATGGTCAAGCAACTAAACCATGGTTCATTTGAACCATGGTTAAAGTTAGCTTGCTCCCTAAGCTACCTTCTTCTATATATTTATAACTTTAACCTTTTCCCTCACTTTGGATGAATAATAATCAGAATTTTTCTCAAAATTCTCTCCTCCAAAGCTCATAGAAACCGTGGAGAATTCTCTCTCTCCATAGGAACTCTACCAAGGAATTTCTCCTTTGTGCTTGGTTCCTCAAGTTTCTCTTCTTCAAAGGGAAACCGAACCAGTTGTGGTTGCTTCTTCAAGCTTTTAAGCTTGAAACTCTTCTATCCTCCATTGACGTGAAGAACCTCAAGAGAAGAAGGGACATAGAAGGTGGAGCTTGAAGAAACATCAACCCTTCTTCAAGAGTTCTATCATACATGATTTTATTGTAATCCCGTAAAGAACTTTATTTTTTTTGTTGTGTAGTGTTGTATTGTATTAAGTGTAATGACTTGTCAAATCATTATATAAACAAATACTTGCATTTGAAAATTTTAATTTGAATACATTTAAAAATTAGTTAAGAAAATATTATTTTAATATTGATTTATAAATATTTCATTATACTTATTATTATTGATTAAATATATTTAAATTAATGAAATAATTAAGAAACTAAAAACCTATTTTAGTTAACTAATTAATTAAAGGAAAAAATATTTTGATCTAATATAAAATAAAAGGTATGTGTATAAAATAAGAAAAAACATATCTATATATATTATCTTGATTTAATATAAAAATGGAAAGGAACATGTATAAAATAAGAAGAAAAAACACGTGTATATATATAAAAGGGGTATATCTAAAAGCATATTTCATTTTCTAAATGAGGAATAATTTATAAATTTTGGTGAGTGTTTATTTTCTTTTAAAAGTTAATTCAATATCATGTCTTAAATATCCCTTCAAGTTTCAAGGTAATAAGCCAATTCCATTCTTAACCACCCATCAAGTGGCATCAATACCATACAAGCATAACAATTAGCAAGAACTCCTCATTTCCTACTTAGCTGGGTCAGTGATGTAAAACTTCTTAAGTAGGAAGCAATTTAAATGACAATGAATCTATTAGTGGGGCCACATAAAGTATCAAGCCACATGAACTTGTCTCTTGTATTTTTTGCCTGCCGACATTACTTTGGTTTATAGAGCCTTGACTTATGCAAGTAAAACACAGACAAATTGCATGTGTGTGAAAAAGAGCCAACACTGTTTTGAGTTATTAATAACTGAAATTAAATTGAAACCAAAGGTCATTATCATAAATAGTAATCAATGATCGAAATTTGATGTCTGACTTGGAAACAAAATTACAATCAAATATATGCTTTATTTTTATTAGGGCCAACTCGATGAAAGTGTTCTAACTTTAACTCATTGTGAAAAAGTTGTTAATTTGCAAATCAATTTCCATATTTAAAAAACATTATGAATGATGTGTCAAAATATAAAGAGGCTTCCAAGATATAAAGATGTTTTGTAGCTAAGTCTTCTCTATATGCACAATTAGATACTGAATCTCTTATCCACTTGGTTAAAGAGCTAAACTATTTACAATTATAGGAATCCTTGTTGATAATTATGTTATTTTTATGATGTGTAAAATGGTTAAACTAACTTGCACTAAAATAAATAAGAGAAAAACTAATTGGGACAACATTGATATTTTTTTATTCACAAGAATTACAACAATAACAACAGAATTCAAACATCAGAAGAAACTCTAAGATCCAACACATATCATCCCAACCCCCATTTATAAAGCAATATAAATAATTATAACTAAGATAAAATTAAATCAAATATACTCAAACCCAATTACATTTGGGTGAATTTATATACACAACTAAAATTAGAACACAATTCAAATAATAATAAATGAAAAGAAAAAGCTCATTTAGAAATCAAATCAATGCACAAAGTGTGAGTAGGGCGAATTAAAATTTATTTGTTTTTAGATAAACATAATGAATTTACAGAAAGATGAACCCTTTACAAAATAACCTATGGTTCAAGAAGCACCAAGCAAGTTTGGGTTACATTCCACTCAGACCTTTGGAATTGTAAAATACAAAACTTGACCCAACTCACAAATAAAACTCAAGAATATATACCAACTATAACACAATTCACAACTGAAAATTTTTCCAGTCTTATCTATAATCAAGTATTCAATATAATGCGCAGGACCCTATATTTAAAATTTGGGATGAATGCTGTAAGCAGGGACGGAGCCAGGATTTCAATACTGGGGGGCCGAGAATTGGAATGATCAAATGAGGCGCTACATTTTTTAAAAAAAAAAAAATTCCAAAGTGATACCACATAGCAGGCCGTACCAGAAGTCCAAAAGTTGAATAAAAAAATAAATTTGGGTTATTCATTTAATTATACATATGAGTTTATATTAAAAATAGGGGGTGCCATATAGTAATATATATGTATATAAAAAAAAATTAAAATTGTTGGGGGGGCCGTGGCACCCGTAGGTCCCCCCTTGGCTCCGTCCTTGGCTGTGAGAACAGAATTGATAGCTATGAATAAAAGACAACACCTCTAGGATGCTTGAAACCAATCACAAGAACTGAACTTTCTTTTACAATTTTGCTTGCTTTGCAGCCACAAAATGAAACTTATTTTCCATTTATTCTCCTCTTTCTTATTTCGAATCAAAACTAGCTCATCTGCTGCCCAATTAGATCAAGACCAACAAGGAGGAAAGTCACCCCTTGGAAAAGAAGATAGTAAAAGTGAACTCCTTGTGCAGACAAAAGACTCCTAACAGAAGCTGTGAGAAGGAGGAATGCTAAAGTCAACTCTTTCTTATATATTTTGTTAGCTTTCTTCACAGGTGTTCCACTTGTTTCCTTTTGTTCCTTGCATTGGTTTGAATCAACAAGAACACTGTCAGAAGCTCCTCTATGGATCTTTTGTTGTTCTATCGTTGACTTGGTCTCCCTTTCTGCGGCCACTACCAAATCAGACTCGGATGATCTTCCAGCCTTCTTTGTGACAATCCATTCATAAGAACTTCCCAAATGGAAGAGTCCAGAGACCATGGCATTGAATTTGGTGACAGACATGGTGTTTTCAAAAAGAAGGTATGGAACTATAAAAGGAAAAGATTTTGGGGCAGGGAGAATGTTGAGGAACGACATAAATACAGGAACATAGCAGATCACCCATAGAGGAAGCTCCGCCTCGGGGACAAACATGGTTAGAGGAAGAATTATGCAAAATAAGGTGAAGGAGTAAAAGGGAAGAATGAGTTTTCTCAACAGAAAGAATAAAAGTATTAAATTTCCTTTCTTCCATGCTGATATCTGCATTAAAAGAGAATTTAGGTTCTTTAGGTTGTTATGCATATAAAATAATATAAACAATGCTTGCAAGTTATCATAATTTGTTTTCACTTATCATTATTCTATTTAGTACTTATAGCTGAGTATCGCTATCAGATATACCTTAGATCTCAAAATTGCTGGAAGACACAATCTGAAAAGTTGCATTGGACCGGAATGCCAGCGGTGCTGCTGCTTCCGATATGCTTCATAGGACTCGGGGACTTCACAAAGTACCTGAAAATTTACAAATTTGAACAATTCAAGTATAGTTCAGCGAAGCAATCAGTCATATTAGCATGTACAAGAATATTATTCTAGTTGCATAGCACTAGAGTATGTACTGCTATGAATGGAGACATTAATGAACAAACAAGTCTTATCTATTATCTATAATTACCTTTACATCGTTTACAAAGATAAATTTCCAACCATGGAGATGAGCACGAACAGCAATATCCATATCTTCTACGGTTGTCCTCTCGAGCCAGCCGCCGGACTCTTCTAGGGTCCTGATTCTCCAAACACCAGCAGTTCCATTAAATCCAAAGAAATTGAGAAATGCCCCATTGACCTGCTGTTCTACCTCAAAATGGAAGCATAAGTTAATGTTCTGGAGACGGGTCAACAAGTTCTCATCCTTATTCACAAAAGACCATCTAGCTTGAACAAGGCCTAATTCAGGATTGTCCTGTAAAAGAAGACAGACATATGTGTTAAAAATATGCCAAACATAGATTTATCAAGAACCCTTGTTGAATATGTTTTCTGTTCTATTTTTAACCTTGAAATATGGCACAGTTTGCTTAAGGAAATCAGGATTTGGTTGGAAATCTGCATCGAAAATCGCAACAAACTCATAGTCTTTCACATAGTCACAGCTCATGGCAGAATTGAGATTCCCTGCTTTATATCCAGTCCGAACTAAGCGATGCCTGTAGATTATGTTGATTCCCTTTTTACTCCATTTTGTGACCTCAGTCTTAATTAACCACTGTATGCTCTCATCATCAGAGTCATCAAGTACTTGAATCAGTAAACGGTCCCTTGGCCAATCAATTTGGCATACTGCAGAAATAGACTGCTCATACACCTGCATAAAATCAACAGAAGTAAAGCGCGAAAGGATTAAAATTCCGTCCAGGGAAAATCATGTGTTTTCACTGATTGCTTATTATTAGAGTGTCATACTTACAAATGCCTCAAAATTACAAACCACCCCACCCACCACTGTTAAGATGAAGAGTTATCTTGTAAATTACTAAGAAATGATATGCATTAAAGAAACTAAAAATATGGAGCTCATTATTATAAGTTGTTGTGTAGGTTAAAAAGCACTTTTGTTTCTAATTCAAGAGGGTTCTAGATTGTTAGGGTAAGATGGCAATTTGAACAATAAGTTATATAGCTTCTGATGACATTTTCCAAATCTCTTCCTGAGTAAATAAATACAACAATAGCCTTACCTCACTAGGTGAGATCGGTTACACGGATCTCATGACGCAAACTTAGTTAAAAACTAATTATCAGGCGTATTATACACCATAAGATCCCTTTTAATAATTTCCTCAAATGTTCTTCTTGGTCTCCCTCTATCCCTTTTGACATAGGCTTAAAAATCATGAAATCTAGTTTTCTGGGGAAATAAATTACTATATTGAAATTTGCTGCTGCATTAAACAACAGCAACAGCTTAATTTACCAAATAAGTAACAGTAAGAAACAAAAGTTTGAAGCCTTACCTCCTTCTCATTACACATGGGAATCTGAACAAGAACCATGGGATGATTACATGCATTTCCTTCAATATCATCAACCTTGAGGGGATCCCCATCAATCCTTGGCTTGATCTTCTTGTACTTTATCCAAAAGCACCCAAAGCAAAGCACCATACGGTCCACCGACTGTATAAGAAACAAAACAACACAAAACTTCGAAAGTGCCCTTAATGGTGGTGCAATGTACTCGCCACGAAACCTCAGCCAAGCAACATAAACCAAGTGCATCAAGCCTTCGAAATCCGCAGCACGAGGAATGTGCAAGCAGGGATTCCCAAAGTGCCAACCTTGCAAGTAAGCCACCACCTCAAACACCAGAACCACCAAAGAACTCACAAGGAACACCTTGATGAACCTAAACAGCACCTTCCCTTTCTCCAACTTGTCACTCTCCAAGGCCACACCCTCCCTTTGAACCAACCTCTTCCTTATAGCTCCCATCAAAGACCACATAACTGTGGCAAACCAAGTAACACAGCCAATAGCATGGTAAGCCTTGAGAATCAAGAACCATGTTACTTGCTTAGCATTCCTGCCACGTGTTTTCTCCACTGGCCTGAATGCTGCAGCATCAGCACCATTAATCTCCACAACAGAGAAAGTAGGGTTCTCCACAGGGGTACCCTTATGAGTGCCCTTCATCCACCTATTGGAAAAATCAAAGCTTGGAACCATTTCCGCACAGATTTTCACACTTTACACAAAAAACACTCACTACAAGGACACATATAGTTATATTATATACACATACATACAAAGGACTCAACTCACTCAAGACACCAACTTTATAGATCTTTTTTAGTACCCATTATTATGAAAAAGAGTAGAGACTCAGATCTGGAACCCCATGAAAATGAGGCCAAACATTTTGTGACAAAACAGCTAGAAATTCCTACTTGGTACAGAAGGAGAACCCTCTTGAAGGTTCAGCATTTGAGTAAATGCTGGTGCAGGCACAAAAAAGGTGAGAACGTGAACTGAGTGAGAAGAAGAGAGAATGGTACCTAACATGATGGGAAAGCCACATTATGAGGGAAGGTATCTCTATCTAGCTATCTGCAGCTGTAAGATGCTAGTAACATCGAGTGGGTTTCCTCCAGTTAACTAATTCCACATTCTCTTACCCTTTTGACTCCTAAGCACGGATTTGTTTTACAATGTGAGTTTTATATCTAAACTTCCAAAGTAATAATCAAAATCAGCCAATAATTAACTCTGGGAAAAAACACCTGAAGGAGTATTAATTCAATTCAAATATAGACCATTGGTCTAACCACTTACCAGAATGAATTGAAAATTTTACGAACAATCGATGAACTTTACTAAAAGTGGCACCATTTTTTTTAGCAAAAGAGATGCGTGGAAGACTAATTTTTTTCTAATCTGTATCTAAATAGACATATTGTCATATTGAGCAAATACTTCTCTATCAAATTCTTAACGAAATACTTAATCAACTCGATTATTTACCAATTATTCCGATTGTTATATTAATACTAATAAGGGGAAAAAGCACTTTTTTATAATTTGCAAGAAAAGATGGTTGAAAAATAAAAATATATTAAAATTTGAAAGCAGGTAATACATGGGTGTTTATATATATATACTATGAAAAGCGAGTATATTAATAATTGTTAGGCATATTATACTGAAAACGATTTATATAACAGAAATTTGTGTTCAATTCTTACCTTATATAAAAATTTGCCAAACCAAGGACCTTTACAATAGAACAAGTGAAATTAGTTTTTGGATTAGTAAAATGGAGATACTCATGACACAATAAAATAAATAAATAAATAAATAATAAAAAAGTTACATTATTACATTGTTATCTTGGATTAAAAAATAAATAAATAAACGTGTGAATTTTCTTAAATCATAAAACCCACAGAATTTAATCTTAATTATTCATAATAAAACATAATAATTATTATGTATTTATCTTACTTTTATGTAAAAGATAAAATAAGATAAATTTATATAGTTATTATAAAGTAAGAGTCTCGTTAATATTAGATAGTTATTTTAAATATATATATAAATTTAAGAAATTTAATAATATCAATTAAATTAGCTAATTTTTTTATCATAATAAATTAGGAAATTAGGTTTTATATAAAGGACAAGGAGAATAAAAATTAATTTTTTTTACAGGAATTAACTTGTATTAAAAAAAACAATTTAATGACATGTGGGTTTTATTTGGAAACTGCCAAATAATATTCAAAATCAACCAAGATTAACTGTGAGAAAAGCACCTGAGGGAAGAATCTTCGGAGAAACAAATGAGCAGAAGAGAACAATTATTTTCTTTATGAGATATTAATTCAAATAAAGATCATTGGTCTACCTACTACCTAGAATGAATTGGAGATTCTCATTACAATTGATGAACTTTTTCCTAAAAGAGTAACAATCCTTATTTAATAAATTGATACGCTGATGCATGCTACCCAAAAACAAAAGTTGTTAATGCATAATTATCGATTATTAATGACTATATGCTTGGGATGATAAAATGAGTTCGTTCAATTTATTTATACATAATTTATCATCAGTTCATCAAAAATAGGTTAATCTAAAATGATTCACTAAGAAGAAATGAGTTGAACAACTTGATCCGTCTCACCTAATAGTGGATTGACAGATCAATGAATCAACCTATTAATTTTAAAAAAAATTATATTTATTTTAAATATCTTTTCTGAAATATTTCTTTTTCAATGTATAAAAGAGACACATAAATTAGTGTATTTAAATAATAAAATAATTTCAAATTATAATAAATTTAGTTTAATTTATTGCATAATAAATCTTAAATTACATAAATAAAATAAATCAAAATGCACAAAAAATTACTTACTACACACATAATAAATCTGTTGTAACTTAATTAAACTTAATATTAAAAATAATAAATAAAATTTAAGAGGATTGATAAGTTAGATAGAACGAATAAGACGAATTAACACACTAGAATGTCTAACTCAACATGCAAATATTTTATGAATGGTAAACTATGACTCTAAACCCTAAAACTATAAACTATGGCCCATTTTGTCATCCCTATAGATATCCATGAACATATTACATCAATTTTTTTTCTTCTAAAAAAATATATTTTTCAAGAATTAATTTTTAAAATTATCAACTTGTTAATAAGTTCATGCTATTACTGTAACACCATAGTTTTTATGAATTATATTAATAATATGTTAGTATTTGTTTTAATGTGTTTATTAGAATGATTTTTAATATTATTTAGCTATTTGATATGAATTTTATTTTTATATAAAATATATGTTATTTTTACTAAAAGAGAGAAGTATATTTTATATTATTTATCTATTTTATGTGACCTTTATTTTAATATAAAGCATGTTTTTTAATTAATATTTGATTATTTTATATGAGACAGTTTTTTATGAAATGTATTTTATTAAAGTTATATATATGTTATTTTAATTAAAAAAGGAGGAAGTGTATTTGATTATTTTTAATTGTTTATGAGAGGGAAAGGAAGACACTTCGGACATTTACTAAATTGTATTTTTATTATTTAATTTATTAATTGAAAAAAAGGGTTAAGGGAAGTTACTAGGAGTTGTAGTCATTTTTATGTAACCATTCTTTTGACTTCATTTTCTCTCTTATGCTTCTAAAGAACAAGGTGTTAAGTCAGACGAAGAAATTCTCAGCAAGGTTTTGAATGAGACAAATATAATACATATTATTATTTCTAACAAGTGTGTTAGTGTTTCAAAAAAACAAGTACAAGCAAAATGAAGAACAGAGCATGTGCAACTTCCCACACTAGAACTAAGACAAAAGGTAAAAGCTACAAGGCATCAGATAAAGAGATCAAACGAAGCCAAGTCCAGCACAGGAAGGAAAATAATGAAGCCTTAATTAGATGATACAAGACCACAGACAATGGATATATACAAGACGAAAATAAAAGTCAAAGTCTACCTCTCAGACGGAGACTTAAATTCCAGACACAGATAAAGAATATTGAAAAACGTCTGAAGTCCACTAAGTCACAACGAGAAATGTTTCTTATCATCCACACTCTCAGAAGAACACATAAAGTCATCAAAAACATGAGAAGAGAGAAGAAAAATGGGCTAGCGCGTATCCACAAGTCAAAGTTGCATGTGTTAGAGCAAGTACACTTACCTTTTAGAAAAAGACAACACCTTTGCAGCTACAATGCCAGAAAAAGTACATATATACTTAGGTTATGATTGAAGTCTGACATAGAAGTGAACAAACGGCCCAAAAGACTTCACATAACACAGATTTGGCAAGCAAACATTTAATACAAGATCAAATGTATTAAACACAAGATCTACGAAGCCTGGACGAACTAAACAAGAACATCAGACGATGGTTGATCAAGCAACAAGACTAGGTCTGATCAAAAGCTACAAGAACATTCAACAAAAACTAGACGAGGCCTAATACTACAAGTCGAAACCTTGAAGTATCTAACGAAAGGCCAAAACAAGGCTAAAATAAAATCTAGAACAAGGCAAAAGTGGGTTAAACATCAGATGAAGCCCAACGATCAACTCAGACGAAGAATAGTCAAGGCAAGGAAGATCATGAAAATCAGACAAACAAAGCCAAATAATAGACGGAACAAATGATAGAGGAAATTGAGTGTTAACAAATGATAGACAGAATACAACATGTGCGCCAGAAGATGAATCAAATATCAGACGAAGGTGTGTCAAGGACAACCTCAAGCGCAACATAAATAATCTAAGACAAAGCGTCCCAAATGGAATTAAAAGTCTTCCATCTGCCTAGCTGACCAAACGAAGGTTGGTCAAAGATCAGAAGAAAGTCAACTACGTACCAGATGAAGGACAACACAGACTGAAAGATATTCTAGATGAAAACAAAGTATGTCCATCTATAATGTTGACCAGACGAAAGGAGAGTCAAAGCATTAATGTCAAATGCTCAGACGAAGATCAATACTTGAGATGCACATGGACTAATAGACACAAACGAAGACTACCACTCAAGTATTTAAAGAATCAAGTCTCAAAGGACTACTCAGGCATCGTCTACGATCATATAAAAGCTCTCAATATGGTTGCGTGAGTAAAAGATGAAAAGAAGAAAGAGAAAATCAAGTGCAGAAGCAAAAGCATGCATGTGTAAAAAAAAAGTACATTACTCTTTCAGATAAGGACAACGCTCTACAGTTACGCGACCGAAAAAGGACAAAAGGTTCCTAGGTCTCTACTAAACTCAAAAATAGCTGCTAACAAAACATAGAAGACTTCACGCAATGTCTACAAACAGAAAGCAACATTTAATGCAAGATCTTAAGCATTAAATGAGAAGATCGAACTAGTCATGAACGACTATATTCTTCTTCAACGAATATTTGCAACAGGCAAATTTTACAAGACTATATATATGTCACTACTTCAAATCTTAAAAGGTTGGCTTTGACGAAGAAGAGCAAAGGGTGATATCAAGCTCATGAAGAAAAGAAACAAGAGATAAAACGTGTAGAGTCAAATGTACCATAGTGTATTTATCTCTGTAGACTAAGGAGTTCCAAGTGTAACTTAGGAACATGAACCTTAGTGAGTGTAGAAATATATGTATCCTCTTTGTGATAGTAAACTACACACTCAATCCTTGTAAAACTAAGGTTGCATACCTTAGTGAGTGTACAAACATATGTATCCTCTTTGTGAGAGTAAACCAAACACTCAAACCAAACCGTATATAAAGCCTGAAGAGGCTAGGGAAAGAATACTTGTAAAAACCTAGAGAGGCTTGTCAAAGAATACTCACTACGAGCCAGAAGTGGCTGAATAAAGAATATTAGCACTAATGGTGAAGTTAGCGGGCCAGTAGTTGGTCGATAATACTCACTAAGAGCCAGAAGTAGCTAATCAAAGAATACTAGTGTCGACGAGTGATGTTGACCAACTAGGAGTGGTTGAGAATACTTAGGACCAAGAGTGATCGTGACTTGGGTGGTCTAGAATACTCACTGCTAGCCTGAAGAGGCTGATTAAAGAATACTAGAGCCAATGAGTAAAGTTGGCTGACTAGGAGTGGTCGTGACTTGGGTGGTCTAGAATACTCACTGAGAGCTTGAAGAGGATGATTAAAGAATACTAGCACTAATGAGTAAATTTGGCAGGCCAGAAGT